CTTGGAGTCGAGCGGTAGAGCCCAACAGAGGAGAGACACGGACAGGTAGAAGGGCCACACAGGGGAGCTTGAGCTTGCCCAGAGCAGAAGATACTCCAGGGTCCCAGCGAGAACTCGGACTTTGTTTCAGAGGCTACTGGTGGTGAATTTGAAGAGGTCCGGGTTGGCCATGGATGGTTAAGAGAGTGGAACTGAAGAGGGTCAGGTGAGATGACAGGGGAGGAAATCATTCTGTCAGGAGGTGAGAATTGGCAGGGTGGGGGAACGGGAGGTTTGCGGACTATGTGCCACGTTTTCTCTTTCTCCAGTTGATGTACAATAAGGTTGACTCCATAACCATGACTAATGCTCACATAAACTTGGATACTCGGATTTGAAAAAAAAAAAATAAAGTGACATTTGAGGAATCTTGCAGGTAATGGCCACAACAACCAACATCATTGAGCATCCAGTACTTTTCTCTGAGCATATCCAAATCTTCACCCATGTGATCTTCACAAAAAGCCCCTAAGTCAGGTTTTATTATTACTATTCCATATTCGGAGAAATTGAGACAGAATTCCAAGTAGCAAATGGTGGGGTCAAGTTACATCACCCAAGCAAAGCCCATCCCACCTCACCTCTGCTGGCTCTGCTGCCGCCTTTCCGCTGTGGAGTCTGACTACTTGTGACTTCATCACAAGATGCCGGGGGACAGGCAGGGCCAGCTGACCCTGGCCGCAGAGCTGTTTTTCCTGCTTACAAACTGCAGCCTTGTGTACCTGAAGACCTGGCCCACCCCTGTCTGAGGAGAACTCAACGCCCTGAGTATTTCACCAGTCAACCAGTCAAGCCTCAAGTTACCCAGCCCCTGACACCCGAAGCCAGCTGACGGTTGGAAGCCAAATCCTGCGGCCAGGTCTGATAACCTTTGTGGAGACGGAACATGAAAAGAGGAGGAGAGGCAGAAGCCAGCACAGATCTTGGCCATGCTGCCACAAACTGGACTGGCTGCTTCCTTAGAAGCTGAAGGAAAGGAAGCCTCGGAGGTTGACCTCTGACCTACACACACACACACACACACACACACACACACACACACACACACACACACGACAGAAAAGCAATAGTCAAGAAGGCCATGGAGCAATTGGGTTGGTGAGGTGTTCGACAGCAGAGTACCACACATGCCACACGATAACGGCTCTGCGATTTGGTATTCATTAGCGTCAATCACCTGTCATTTCTCACCTTGAAACTCAAAGCCAGAACAGTGGCCTCTCTGGACTGGAGCAAACCAAACCAAGCTACAGGGATAGAAACCAAAATGTGTGTTGTCTCAGCTATGGTGGTGAAGCGGGGCCCAACCTCGAAGAACCCAGGAAGCTTGCCAGGGCGGTGAAAACGGTTTATACTCAACAGGAGAGTTTGCTACGCCGCTGTTCGTATTTGCCCAGACTCACTAAAAGATACACTTCAACTTGTGCACTTTACTCTGTCTAAACTAAACCTCAAAAATATTCGGACATAGAACTGAGCGAGAAGCTTAGTGGTATAGCACTAGTTTTAATGTGTGTAGCAGCCTAAGGTTTAATCCCAAGTGCCCAGCATGTGCAGCAGCCTAAGGTTTAATCCCAAGTGCCCAGCATGTGCAGCAGCCTAAGGTTTAATCCCGAGTGCTGGTTAGGTTTTGTCAACTTGACACAAAATAGAGTCATCTGGGAGGAGGGATTACCTTCATCGACTTGGCCTGTTAGCAAATCTGTGGCCATTTTTTTTTTTTTTTGATTGATGGCTGATGTGGGAGGACCCAGCCTACTGTGGGTGGTGTCACTCCTGGGCAGGTGGTCCAGGGTTCTGTGAGAAAGCAAGCTGAGCAAGGCAGGGGGAGCAAACCAGCAAGCAGTGTTCCTCTGCAGTGTCCGCCCTGACCTCCCTCGATGATGGATTAGTATATAGAAGTGGGAGCCAGATGCACCCTTTCCTCCCCGGTTTGCTTTTGGTTAGGGTTTTATCACAGCAACAGATTAGCACACTAGGACAGCCCAGTCCTGGGAAGGAAAATTCAGAAAATTTTTAAGCAACAGATGTTGGATGTGAGTGGCTTATACTTTTCTCAGGTAGCTCATTTTTCCTGCCACAGAATTTATTCTTGGTACTCCCTGGAGTCCTGGACTTCCACTCCCCACCTGTATTATGAGAAGAGCCCCCCCCCCCCCGCCAGGTAGGCCCAACAACTGTGACACCCCACAGGTCAGCAATACACCAGACATGGCAGGGTTTCTCTGATGCCCACCGTCTTATAGATCCCAGCACACACTCATCAGGGTGTAAATTTTCCCACAAGTGCAGGGCTGTGCGTTACCCAGAAGATGACCGTAGCAACCCCACTGAGAAGCAGAATTAGCATGTTAGAGAAAAAAGAACAGCAGGAGAAAGGTCTGAAGTTTGACACCCTCTTCCCAGCCCACATCCTCCTGGGTCCTGTGGTCCTTGTCTTTAGGATGTAGAGGTGACAATGATACAAAACACACAGCCCAGGCCCTGCCAGAGTGCTGCGAGACGGAGCATCTGAAGGCATCTGTCTATTAAAGCCACCAGTCAGAGTTATCTGAAGGCATCTGTCATCTATTAAAGCCTCTGGTGAGGGCTGCAGAGATGGTCCACAGTTCAGAGCACTTGCTGCTCTTTCAGAGGCCCAGGTTTGGTCCCAGTACCCACATGATAGTTCAGAACATCTGTAACCCCAGTTCTGGTATGGGATACCCTCCTTTGTCCTTGTCAGGTACCAGGCACACATATGGTACACAAACATACATGCAGGTAAGACACTTATAAAATAAATAAATCTAAAACAAAAATTTTAAAAGCCCGTGGTGAAGGTGATCATGCATGTGCAGTTACAGTACCATTTCCGCTATTTCATTCAGAACCCTGCTTCCTTCCCCAACACACACAGCACACACACGCCTTGACCTAGTGTTCAAATCTTTATTGTCCACTTAGAAATTTTATGAGAAGATGGAGGTATTTTAACTGTTCAAATCTGTTACTTTTTCTGTTTTTTTAACATTATTTTATGTGACTATTTTGCCTACATTCATGTCTATGCACCATGCAAGTTCCTTGTGGCCATGGAGGCTGGAAGAGGGCATTAGATCCCCTGAAACTGGAGTTATAGATGGTTACAAGCCACCATGTGAGTGCTGAGAACCAAACCTGGGTCCTCTGGAACATCAGCCATGCCTTAACTGCTGAGCCAGCTCTACAGCCCACATCTGTTAGCTTTAGTATCCGTAGACAAGCACTGATTGAAGTCTTCTTGAATTCTTGGTAGATTCCACTCTTCTGGACACTCAGTTAAGTTTGGGGTTTCATCTTGAGCCTGGGCAGCAGATTTTCCCCACAGGCCCATTCCTGTTCACAGTTAGAAAATGAGTCTGTGTCCCACCCCTATCATGGCTTCCTCAGGGAGAAGCGTTCCCAGAGCCGGCTCACCTGCTGGTGAAGGTCAGGGCCAGCGCAGTGGCCAGGTGAGACATCAGCCTGAGTGTCTGCATCTGGTGCTCGATGATCTTCACCTCCTCCTTGCCCTTGGGCCCAAACTGCCTTCGGCTGGAGAGAATGAACAAACACAGCTTTTACCAAAACGCAGTAAGTAGGTGACTTCATTTTCACAGCTGCAAGTGGCAGCCGGCCATTGGTGTTTCAAATCCTGCCGGATATGGAAACCCAAGCCTCCTAAAGTGTGGTTAAGACAGTGAGTTAAGACAGTCCAACCTTCCGAGAAAAGTCCAAAGAAAGCTTTTTAGCTTTCCTGGAAACGAACCTTTCCACCACGGGATCCGGGTAAGGCAACAGAGCTATCTACTACGGAGAGTAATTTGTACTCCTTAACATTTACATGACATCTTAGAGCTTCAAGTGCCCTGTGATCATTAATTATTCAGCTTTACTAGGTTTGGGACATAATTAATAGGACAGGAGCCGTAGCCTAGAACATATTTCAAATGGACATTCCCAACAAGGAGGGTGGCGGTGGCCTCCCCGCTCCTGTCAGATTCACAGGTGGATCATTACTCTCAGCCCTCCTAAGCACCCCTGCAGTTCCGCATGGAATAGTGTTCGCCACATCCTGCAGCCCCTGTGCCTTGTTACAGCGGCTGCAGGGCACTTAGAGGCAGATACAGCTCATGTCTTTCCTCAGAGCAGTTCCTGGGACTGTTCCTGCAGCGATGCCCATGGGCAAACCCTGGTGCAGGTCAGTACGCTCTGGCTCTGGGGTTGGTGACATTCTGTTTTTAAATAGCCATGAGCTTAGTTTTGATTTTTTAAAAAGCAACATTTTACACACACACACACACACACACACACACACACACACACACTGTTTGTAGCTGTAGACACTATTGAGCCAAGGATACCCATACACTTAAGAGCAAATTTTTCAAAGTTTTTATGTTTGCACCTTTGGGGGTCATAGATCAAATATCCTGCATATCAGATATTTACATTATGATGCATAACAGTAGCAAGATTGCAGTTATAAAGTAGCAACAAAAACAATTTCATGGTTGGGGTCACCACAACATGAGGAACTGTATTAAAGGGTCACAGCACTTGGAAGGTTGAGAACCATTGGCATAAGGCATTTAGAAGTCACAACCTGGTTATGAGGTGGGAGGGGACGAGGCAAACAAAACCAGGCATACACAGGGGCAGATGCTACCCAGGGTGAGGAGATATCCCAGGGCACAGTTTGACCACTCCAGACGGTTGTCCCAGGAACACTATCATCCCCTGCCCTTGGCCCATGCCCTTGGCCCATGCCCTTTCGTCCACACCATCTCCACCCAACCACAGCAGGGTGTGGTCTCAAATGAGAGGCTGAACAGCATGCAGGGAGACCTCTCAACTTCGGCTGGATCATGAGGAGACCAAAAACAGGAAGAAAAAGAAATTGCATTTTCAATAATGGTGTCATCATAATGTTAGGTTATTGCTATGGACTGAATTGTGTCCCCACAAAATTCATATGTTGAAGCCCTAATTCCCAAGTGACTATTTGGAGATAGGGCTTTTAGGAAGTAATTAAGGTTAAATGAAGTCATAAGGGTGGGGTGCTAATCCGATTTGCCCAGCAAACCCTGCTTCAACTCCATGGGTTGAGGAAGGTCAGGTGAGGACACTCAAGGAGGCAGATCAGGAAGACAAATCATGTAGACGCTGCATCTGCCAGTCCTCAGACCTTGGCATTCCAGCCTCCAGCACCGCAAGACACAAATGCCCACTGTTTGTCACCCCATCTATTGTATTTTTGTCATAGCAGCCTATATGGTGCCATGCAGTTACTTAGAGTGTTCTATCTGTCCCCACTCTCTTGAATTTTAAGTTTTAAAATTATGGTATTGCTTTATTTACAATTACTAAAGCCAAAATTTTATCCACACTAGACATGGCCATATCTAACCCACTCCTCTGGGAGACAGCTGAGTCTGACCTGTGCCACAGGTGCACTGGATTCTGGGCATCTACCATGTTCAAGGTCAAGTCCCAGACAAGGAGCTAACAGCCCAGATCACAGAAAAGACCCAGATAGGGTGACCCAGCTTTCCATTCCTGTCAATCACCAGTTCCAAAATACCATTTCAGGGTACTTTATTCACACAGAGATGGCAAAGGAAATGATCGATAACAATGTCTTTTAAAATCTTGATTTGCTGAAAAAAATCATGATAACCACACAATTTTAAATGGCATTCTATCAAAGTTTCTGTTTCTTCACACAAGTCTTTGTTTTGGTGCCCAGCACATAGCAGATGCACACACCGAATGAATGAGTTTTTCAAATGAAGAAATGCAGGCAAACATGGCAGAGTGGCCTGACCAAGACCTCAGGGAAGGTTTTAGGATGCTATTCAGGGTGGCGGTTAGCAGTGGTTGTCAACTTGACAGGATCTAGAGTCACCCCAGAGACAGCCTCTGGGCAAGCCTGTGAGGGTTCTCTGACCAGGTTTACAGAGGTGGGGAGACCCACCCTGAATATAGGCACTATCCCATGGGCTGGGGTCCTAGGCTGCCTAAGACAGAGAAAGTGAGCAGAAGTGTTTATCACTTTCTTCTTCCGTACTACAGAAACCATGTGACCAGCTTCCTCGCGCTCCTGCTGCCCTGCCTTCCCCACCATGATGGACTGCTGCTCCAACTGTGAGCTAAAATGAATAAATAAAATCCTCCCTTCTGCTGCTTTCTTCCCCCAAGGTGTTTTTATCACAGCAACAGAAAACAAAACTAACACCATCAGGTGTAGGAATAATTTGTGATGGCCCCGTTTCCTCTTTGACCCTCATAGTTCAATTCCGGTAATAGGTGCAGGCCAGAGAGACCACCAGGAGTCCACACAGCAAGCCTCAGAGTATATCTTGTCATGTGACAGGGAGATCGGCCAATCCACTGCAGGAGTCTAGGTGATTTCATGAACTTGAGAGATTTCACAAGAATACATGCATTTCCAACTTTCCTTGTAAAACAGGATGATCTGGCATCTGTGGAGTCTACATTCATGATGGGGTATGCTGGGCCTTAGGGCCACCAAACTGCTTGCTCAGGGCAGAGTTCTCTGCCCTCTAAGCTTCCAGAATTCCATCCACTAACCAAGTTTAGCTAATGGCTCGAAAGGCACTGGTTTTCTAGCCCCATTGTCTTAGTCAGTGTTGTATAGCTGTGAAGAGACACCATGACTATGGCAACTCCTATAAAAGAAAGCATTTAACTGAGGCTGTCTTACATTCAGAGGCTCAGTCCATTATCATCAGACAGGAAGCATGGCCACACACAGGCAGACACAGTGCTACAATTAGCTGACAGTGTCTACATCTCAGCGGGCAGCAGGAAGAGAGTGAGCCACTGGGCCTGGCTTCAGCTTCTGAAACCTCAAAGCCCACCTCTAGTGACGCCCTTCCTCCAACAAGGCCACACCTCCTCCAACAAGGCCACCCACCCCAATTCTTTCACATGGTGCCACACCCTCTGAGCCATTTTCATTCAAACTACCACACCCACCATTGTGGGTTTCTTTACTTCAGCCACAATAATTTATCACCACCTCCTAACCTGTTAATTAGTCCTGTGACACATAGCCACACACAGGCATTCTACAGGCATTTTAAATATAGTAGCCAGATGGTTGGGAATCTAATCCAAATGCCTCTCTGCCTGGTATCTAGGAGTCCACTTGGGTTTTGCTTGAACCTCCAAGGATGCTTCTTCACACCCTCCCCATCTGGGGCCTCTGTCCACGCAGGGCTCACTGCCTCCACCAGTCTCAAGCCCAGCTGTCATATACCTACCTGGACTCACTTGTGGAGGCTCAGCCACCCACTCTCTCCTCACACTGAGACTTTTCTGATTCTTCTCCCTCTCCAACACCCAAACAGAACCAAACCAACCAAAGCAAAGTGGCTTCTCCTTAGAATGCCCTTAGTATTCCTTCTGTGACCTCCCCAATGCCAATCTCTCTCTCTCTCTCTTTCAGTCTGTACTAACTGACAGCTGCTGATGCTTCTCCACCCCGAGCTGATCCTAGAGTGGGAGCCCCACCTCCCAGGGTGAGCTCATTCCTAAAGATAGCAAATGATGTCCCCATGACTGCATCATCCAAATGTAAGCTAACAAATCCAAAAGCCCCAATACCTCCTTCATAAGGCTATCACAATGTAGGCCACTGATGCCCAGCACGAGTCACCCCAGGTGACACCCAGGGCCGGGTGTCAGACAACTGAGGAGAACTCCAAGATATCAGAACCCTAGTATCCAACTAGTCAATCCTAGTCTACTTAACCTGATTAGCCTGCTCAGCCTGCATGGCCCATCCTTTCCTTTGGCATCCTCCACCCCCTTCCTGACACTAGTGTTTCCCTGTGTGGACATGGTGAGCGGACACCCCTTTTTTTCTAGGGCACTGTGAACAATGAATGACCAAAGAAGAAGATCTTCCTGACCTGTTGGCCTCCACATATCTGAAAGCCAGAACAACCTACACATTCACAGTCTCTGCCATCAGCACATTTTCATGTGACCCATCCTGGCCTGGAACAAGAACTCTCAGGAAAGAAAGAAACA